GCTGACCACGCTCAGCTGGCAGCTGCACACCACGTGTTGCAAACAGAAAAGGAGAAATGGGAAGCGAGGCATAGAAAGGTGAGTAGGTAGCTTGAAGGACAAGCACACTGGGTAGCTACTGCTCCAATTCCTGTGCCTTGAGCCCCATACAAAGCTCCTGCAACTACTGTGGTCTGTGTGCATGTTTTAGGTAACTAGGTGATCCTTCCTTTAAGGACTCCTTTAAATTAAAACCCTACTGTGACTACAGGAGTGGTGATGTAATCACAGATGAGGACAGCTGCTGCTCTTCAAGTCTTTTCTGCCTGCTTTAGCCTGATGGAATTCTGACAAAGTTTGAGGTGCCAAATTTTCATTACAGCTGACATTGGTTCATGCAAAATGTGCCATAAATTGGAGCTACTTCCAAAACCACAAGACTGTCATTCCTGTTACATTTCTCCTGTGTGCCTTTGTCAACAGCAGACAGCTGTACTGCAGCCATGTGTTATCTGTGTTACAGACCAGAAACGAACAGCGAATGGCACTGCAACTAAGACAAACCATCCTTCCCACTCCAGATTAGTTTTTAACAAAAACCCAGATCTTATCTAGTTCAATTTACAACAATATTAATGTAAGCAGAGCATGGGAACAGAAAAAAGGAGGTGAGCAGGCTCAGGCCTTATGTTGCCTTGCGTTGTTCATGAAACAAGGACACAAGCCAGATTATTTACCACCTATGGTTGGTTTACATGGTCCATTGCTTTAGCAGTCCAAGGGAAAAAACCTGTATCAGTGGAGAACCTGGCTGAAGAGAAGAAAGTTAAGCTTTTTCCTTTTGTGGTCAACATGATTTTATTCCCTTTCAGTAGATGCCTTTTGGCAATTATTGGCTAGCAGATTTGTGCTGGTTTAAAAGTAAACTGGTGGGAGAAATGAATTTTGAGAGACCACAGGTCAGAGCTACAATTTACTAAAAGGATTACAACACATACAATGATGCACGGTCACAATACTGGCTTTGACCCACGAGGACAAAGTAGAACCCAGCACCCTGGGGCAGGAGCAGCACGGTGCCCGTTAGCTCCTGGGCTGGGCACTGCCTGGTTCCCCTGGGGGCAAAGCAGGAGGAGAGGAAACCTGCCAGTTGGGGTGATGGTCTCAGCTCTGTCGAAGGAGTGATGGCCGGGAGTGGCAGCCACAGTCCTGCTGGAGCTCTGCCCCCCCTCTGGATCCAATGAGCAGTCCCCAAGTCCCAAAATGAAGCTTATATCTCCCCAGGCTCAGTGGGAATGCCCAGAACCTCCCCCCAGGGTTGGAGTTTCACAATGGCTCGTTGAACTCTGTGGGTGGTGGGATATTTTGGGGTTCCCTGATGAGCTGGGCCACTGTCAGTGCAGCTGGGCCCATGGTGGTCCATGAGCAGAGGGGACTCCTCCCGCCGGGTGTGAGGGCGTGAACACATACCCGACGTC